CATTCGCTCGAGCTACAAGACGAGCGATACGTCGTACTCGAGCTTGAGTGGTACGAGCATGGCGACGCCTCACGTGACGGGCGCCATCGCGCTCCTTGTGTCGGCCAAGCCCGGCATCACGTACGACGAAGTCTACTCGCTCTTGACGCAGACGGTCGAGACCAAGTCTCTCATCAACGACCCGCTCACGTGCGGTGGGCTCCCGGGCGACAAGTACCCGAACAACAACTTTGGCTACGGCCGCATGAACATCTTGCGTGCCATCGAGAAGATCAAGGCTAGCTGCTAAGTGTCGAGCTGGGTGGAAATTTTATACTGCCTTAATGTATTGTGAATCGTGTGTAAGGAGGGTCCTGTCGATTGGTACAGTTCATTTTCGATGAAAGGTCGTAGGTGTAGCATTTTGTAATACACTACGCGAGTGAATATGCATTCTTTGTTGAGCTACTCCGTACCTTGGTCACTGCTTGCTCGCGGCGAGAAATCTGTCGAGGAGGCTGCGCACCATCGGGCTCAGGTTTTGGCGCTCGTGCTACGCGAGAGTCTACATGTGTAGTAATTGTATGCACAAACTCACCTCGAAGCAGAACATGATGGCGCCCATGGACAGACCAAAGAGCATGACCTCGCCGTACGGTACATCGGCGAGCCAGCGGGTGTCACGAAGCATAATGAAGAGAGAGTCCACAGCCCGCGGCAGCACGTACAGCGCCAGCTCTACCATCGAAATGGTGTCACTTCACAAGGCCCCGTATAGACTTTATACCCGATCGCCGGCTCTTGGCTTCGATGAAGATGGCAAACGACGATACGAGTCCTAGCAGAGTAAGGCGATGAGCCTCATTGTATACTCCCATACAGACCGGCGGCAAAGTAAACTGCTTTATGATCGCGCTTCAAGAGACCACGAAATACGCATATCGCGGCCTGGTACACGGCGACGAACGAGCCCATGAAGAGCGTGGAGCGGAACCCACCGACGACGCCTTGGAAGAGCGAGTAGAGCGGTCTAGACAACGACGTTAACGCACCGTCCCCAGAGAGACCATCCTACGTTCTAAGGAAGCGCCGGAACTGCAGCACGACCTGCGGCACGATGTTGAGCGACATATAAAGCGGCAAGGTGCTGCGCATCGCCTTGATGAGCGTGAGGAGAAAGCCGTAGGAGCACGACGTCGTTGGGTGGTGGATGAGACCACACGGAATGCACTGCAACAATATTTGTTATCGCGGATGGGACTCCAGAGAGCATGCGTACATTGGGGAGATTGGTCGTGCTCGTATAGACGTACGGCGAGCCCTTGTCGGAGAGAAAGCGCGAAATCTCGGCTGGCTCAACGGGCAGGCCGCTCGTGTTGCGCTGCACAAAGTTGAGGACCTTGTAGCCGACAGGGCCCGTGCGCTGAATGAAGCTCGAGTACTCTTTTGGCAAGATAGATGGCCGCATGATAAACGTGTACATGACCTAGTGCCAGTCTTAGCTGAAGCAAACGGAGCCAAGTGCACCTGGGCGGACGTGAGACCGAAGAGCAATGAGTCACCGTGGGCCCACTTGCTGCCCCAAAAGTGCCACACGTCGCGGGACTTGGCGCTGTTGTAGAGGCACTGAAGTGCTCGCGCAAGTGCATAGAGCGCCAGCGACCGACGACTAATCTGGTGCGTCAGACGACAGACAACCGAAGCGGTGTAGGATGTTGTACCGCTCTGGCTCGACAAACACGACAGCCGAGCCTGCCAGCGTCCCCGCCAGCGCCGTCGTCATGGGATCTTCGCCGAGAGCCTCCGAGTCTTCTTTGCCGTGGCGCAAACGCCGAATAATTGCCTTGAGCGCTTGGTAGCCGCCGGTAAACCAGCCGATGAAGAGCCCCATCGAGACGGCCTCGACCCGAAAGCTGAGGTGTTTCTCGCTCAGTAGCACCTTGAGGTTGGCGATGGCTTTAAACTGTCTACGATCGACGGTCGTCCTCGCGCCTTCTTTACCAAACGTAGTACCTCTTTTGCAAGAGCAGCACGATGCGCACCAGCACGGCGATGCCGGCGCGAACGTTGTAGGCGAGGATGAAATTGGACGCACCCGTCTGCGCCGCAGCAGCGAGCTCTCGGAATAGCGGCGGCTTCTCCTTCGTCGACTCGGACGTCTCGGAGGCCATCGAGACCATCGACGCGGACGGCGTCAGCAGACTCGCAGCCGCCATATCGAGATCTGCGACCGTCTTTGATCCGGAGTTATCCGGATACAGCCATGCGGATGGCGTGCACGATTGCATCAGAGCCCGAGCCCTACGACGTCACGGGGCGAACGGCAACTTGGCCGTTGCTGCACGGAAGGCAGATTCTTGCCGACCACTCGCCAGTACAGCTTGAGGATGGGCGCCAGTGCCAATGGATACGACGCCATCATTCGTACTGGATCAAAAGGCGCAAGTCCACACTTTCCCGCATCGATTGTTGATTGTGGTGGGTCCCGATAATTTCCTCGAAATCGCTCGTACTCTTTTGCACGACGTCTACGCACCCTCATTACCGTGACTGCTACCCTCGACCCTAGCGCCCACATCGTCTTGCGTTGGTATCTTTGCCCACACGACGAGCCACCACACAATTCCTTACGTCGTCGATACTTGCCAGTACATGGTGCCTTCGACGACGAACGGTCGAAGCAGTCGTCGCGACACAAGCGTGTCGAGGAATATTTCGAGCCGCTCGAGCTCGCAATCGGTCATTTTCTCGGAAACTTCGGTGAGCGTCTACACATCCGAATGCATCAGTGCTGACGAGGGCAACGTGGAGCGTACGAGGGCTTGGTGGGCATCTTCGCGGAAGAGACTATACAGCGTCGTCATTTGGTACGCCGCGAGACCGCGCTAGCCAATAGCCCGTCAGACGACGCGAACGCAGACGATATTGTTAGTACCTGGAAGGCCACGGGAAACAGCGAAAGGTCGAACGCCGGGATCGGTTCGTTTGGCGACGCCGCATACAGGGCATCCATGGCAGGTTGGTACGACGTGTCGGCGCCTGCAATTCGGTTCGAGAGTGGCGTGTGGGGCGTCATGACGCGCAGCTTCGTGCTCAGCAACGGCGAGCCCAGGTGCGGCGACAGGAGCGCGTCCTCGTCGCTCGACTTGGACGGCGTCTTTCGGGGCGTCTTTCGGGGCGTCGAGGTAAGCTCAGCGACGGCGCTGAACCGGCGACGGAGATTTGCCGATGGCGTTGGTGCCCACTGCGGGGATAGCAGCACGTTGTTCACGCCACTTGTGGCCTTGATCGCCGACGACGTAAAGTGACGCTCCGGCGTCGATGGCGTCTTGGCTTCCTCCACCCCGTCGTCGTCATCCCCGTCGAACGGAGTGTGCTGCAGCTGCACATGACGCGAGAGCACAGGTATTTCGGGTGACCGCGCGTTTTGGCTCGAGAGGCCACTCGTATCGAGACCGTACCCGGCGCCTGTATATCGCATCGGCGTAGTCGTTGTGAGCTCCACCTGGAGCGACGATGCGGACGCCGATGTGTTCGATTGCGCCGGTCGTGTCGGAGATCGAGAATACGTCGGCGCTTGGAGCACTTGGATGTTGCTCGAGAGCGTTGGGAGTTCGGGTGTCGGCATGTGGATCTCCGTGAGCGACGGTGCATTCGTCGGGGTCACTGCCGGTGGCTTGCGCAT